GTACCTTGTTTTATGCTGCTTTCAACTGCGGTATCCAATGCCAACTCTCACACTGATCCAGTGAGGTTTGCATCAGTGACGTGGGGAGGGAGGCTTCTTCTGTCGCTTTGCACACCCAGCTGCAGTCTCATGTGCAACGCCCACCCCCCCAATATGCTCCAGCGGGTGAGAGGGATCCTCTCACAGAGTGGGGAAGGGATGCCATGGAGGGTCCAGGAGAGAAAAATCCGCAAAAGTCGCCTGCCTCCCTCCCTGTTTTACTGACAGAAACCTTTGACAGGCTAAGGAAGGGCCATGGCTCAGTGGTAGGGCTACAGCTTTGAATGCACAAGGCCCCAGGTTCAACCCCTGGGAGAAGTGGGCCAGTGTAGCCTATTCTATAGTAATAAGTTGTTGGTTACTGCTTGGGCCATTGGCCATTTGCATGTAAGAGAAATAGGTACAGCAAACGAAGCAACAGTATAAAATTCTGCATAAAATCACATTGCTATCTAGAATCATATATAAAACCTACATCCTAAAAATACACAACTCATAGAGCCTGCTAAAATGAGTGAACCACTGCTGAGGTGAAATCTGCCCAACTACTACTTGTCTAACTGTATGCATGCCAATAGAAATTATATCCCAAAACTGCTCCAGCATAAGGCAGCTTTCTCTTTTCCTGTCATCAGCATCAAGGACATAATGCAATGCAACCCTCTATAGTTTTTATTGTATATTTTTATGTTTTATCATAGGTTGTATACTCCCTTGGAAACTGACGCTGAAGGGCTCCATAGAAAGTTGTTAATAAAATAAACTTTTAATAAAAAAAACAAGTTACTACAAGGCTTAACTTTCAGTGACTGTACCTCAAGTCTGGATTAGCAGTTCTACTCCAAAAACATTTAACGTAACCATGTTACTCTGGGTTTGGTATTGCAGTTTGATACTGCTGATGCATCACATCATATAGTAATAGCAATTTCTGAAATGGCTTAAGAGCTACATGATGTACAAAACACATAAAAAATAGACACAGCCCAAAAGGCTTACATGCTTTCTTTAGAAAGGAAGTTGAAAATAGAACAAAACATAAGAAGGCAGCAACAACCATTAAACATAGGCTTCCTGAAAGATGTTTTAAGAAGAGGTAGATAATCCACTCAGTAATACTTTTCACAAATAAGCAGCAATAAGACAAAAAGCATATAATGTAGGCAAAAAATAAGGGAAAAAACATGTAGAAAGCCAAGATGAGAAATCAGCAGGAGCTAGACCATGAATACATACAAAAAGGCAAGTTAACAGAACCTTTTATGCAAAATGGGCAAGGTAGGAGAGCAAAGAAAAACCAAGAGCAAAGAAACATTGTGTGCATCTGAGCCGAAAAAGTTAAGTAGGTGGCAAAATGCAAAACAAAAACAAGAGCCATAAGGTGGGATAGAGAATACCAACTAAAAGGACATTACAACAAGTCAGTTGGGGGGAAAGAAGATAATGAACAAGGTATGGGAAGCTGTCAGAGAAAGAAAATACTAAATCCGGGGGGTTGAGAATGACATAAGAATCCAAACACAAAACCAAGATCTTTAGCTTGAAAAGAAAGAAAGAGGGTGAGGGGATTAGAAATCCCATCTCTGAAAGACTTGGCCTTAAAAGAAAAGAAACCACACAGAGATAATAGCAAGATGAAAAGATGAAATATTATCCAAATAAGAATATAAGTTAGAAAAGTGTCTCTGACCACCATCAATGTACAGTCAAATCCCATCATATGTGGAGGGTTTGTTCAAGGGTTGAGCATAGCAGAAGGGCTGTGGGGGGCCCTCCCTTGCACCTCCAGTGCCTTGCCTCCCTCCTCCACCTGTGAGCTGGCCAACAGAAGGGAGGAGGGCAGGCAGAGAGAAAGGAAGGCAGAAGGGAGGAGCAGAGAGAGCTGCAGGCAGAAGAAAAAGGCTGGAATGTAGCTGCAGCCCAGCGTGTCTAGTTGAAATCATGTATGGGAAATGCACGCAAGACTGCAGAACGATGATTCATAATGAAAGACTGAATAAAGTGCCATCCTATGCATGTTTTCTCAGAAATAGGTCCTACTGAGATACCCCTGAATAAGTGTATATAGGACTGCAGCCTAAGAGAACCTAAAGGGTAAAGGCAAAGAATAAAAACAAAGGGACCAACAGGGAACCTGGAGAGTTCCTAACAGACTGGAAAAAAGAAGGAAAGATCAATTAAAGGAAACACAGTTAGGTGTGGTTAGAAAGGAAAAGACAGCAATCAAGAACACAACCATGAGACACCAAAATCATTACAAAGAATATCACATTTACTACCTCTTGTTTCATCTTTCCACCTACTTCCTTTCAATGGTTCCCTTTTATACTCTTCAAGCCAAAACTATATTTTGTTAACACAAACAAGGGAGTCTGCTGGCAGCTTCAAGATGAAATGCAGTTATTGTGGACAAGAACTCTTTTATGGACGAGAGCCCATTCACCCCCACTGTGTAAACAGTGGAGTCATGGTCTGACAACAGCTATTGGTATCAAAAGTTCTTACTTACTCGACAATCCCTCTGTAGCGTTTTCATGAGTGCACTATAAGTCTCCGAGTCAAAATATAATCCTTCATGCATGTCTTGAAGAAAATCCAAGTCTTTAAAGGTGGGGTTGGACTTCTCTCGCTCTTTCCTGGATGCCCTCCTTTTGTACGTGGAGCCTTTCAAGTCATAGTTGAAATGCATTTTCAGTGATCGAGGCAGAACATTGTTCATCACAATTATCCTGATATTAATACCTCCCGACTGAACACAATACAGTCCATAAAATTTTGGTAGGAGTGTCCTTGGATTCTGGTTGAGATTCTTAAAAAACAAAATGAAGAAGCACCAATGAACATCAGAAGCACATTTAAAATAAGATTTCTGCATGCACCTTAATATAGACTAGGAAGTCAAGTCTATCCTAAACAAACCAGACATATACTTTTAATGAAATAATGCTTGAAGTGTTTTATTTTAAACTAAACTAAAAAAAGAGTTAAGCTCTTAAATTGGAAGGCTGTCTACACTGAGGACCAGTGGTGACAAGCAATCTAAATTATTCCATGCTTTGGTTTGAAATTCCCCCATCTGCCTTAACTATGGTTATCTGTTATATAGGTACTGACATTAATCGTAGTGAACATTAACCACATAAACTGACGTTAACCAGAACACTAGCCCTTAGCAAGGAGTTTCCAGCTATTTTGAAATTCTAATTTAAAGGGAAACCTAATTAATAATAGAGGTTAATGTCACTGAATATGGAGACTTCCGGGGGGCGGCGCGAACGGTAATGGCGGTCTTCTCCCGACGGGAGAAGAAGCTCCGCTGAAATCGGGCCGTCCGCTACGGCGAAGCGGAGACCCAACGAGAAAAACCCCAGGCAGCAAGAGCCTGGGGTCCTGAGGCTCGGCGGGCGCCAAGAGCAGCCCTCCAACTGCAGAAGGAGCCTCGTAAGAGGCTCCGGAGCGTGGAGGGGGGCTGCGGCGCTGTGAGCCGTTTCACAGTCAGCGGAGTGAAGCCGCGCTGCTGCTGCCGGTGAGCGCTGATCCCTTTTCCTGTTAAAATTCGGACCTGGAAGAAAACAACTTATTCGTGAGTAAAGACTGAATCACTTGGAATTACAAATTTTAAATGAGAAGGTTTAAATTGACTTGAATTTGGCTGAAAGCGGAGAGACGTGGAAACAGGAAGTCCGTCTTCCGCTGCCATTGAACTTGGAAAAAAAAGCAACTAAGGTGGAGGAGTGGAGGCTGAAAGAAAGAGATTTTAAACTCTACACAGCCAAGCATCTATGGAACTTACAATTTAAAGTAAAACTAGCAAGTTAAAGATTTGGACCTTTTATTTGCACTTGACTTTCCCCTTTTATTGGATTACAAATTGGAAGGTGAAACCCAGAGTCAGGATTGCTTGAGCACTGTAACAGTGGGCTGTCAGTGTTTGACTTGGATACTGTATATTAGAAGTTGCAACAATCTGAGGGTATTGAGACCTTTTAAATTTGAAACATTCTTTCTGGAGACAAATAAGCACTGTCTGCAACAAAGTGATTACTTTTAAACTCTGCTTAATACTTATATTGGAAGGTTCTGGGACATTAAATCAGACTCTGAAAAGACATTTTAAGCTCCCTCTAGAGGATTGGATTAAAACAGTGACTTTATAAATACATTTACTTTCGATTCCCTTGTTGTCTGCTTGCTCTGGGCCTCTCTATTCCTGTGGGAAAAACTCAGTGTGACCTTGACTGATAGATAACATTGGAATGAGTGGTACAAGAAGAAGAGGAAGAGTTAGACAAACAACTCTAACAAACCTAACCTCAGCCTCGCAGACACGTAGATCATCTGTGCCTACTTTGCCCTCAGAAGTACAACTTGAAGAAGCTGCCTTGCTACAGGCAAAAGAGGGAGAGGGTGAAGTAGAGCAGTTACAATTGGAAGATATGGCCTCAGGAGCATCTGTTTCTGTGCTAGAAAAATCTTTGAAAAATTGGAAGCTTTGGACAAGAAAGTAGATGCGCAATCAGCAAAGATTGATAAAAATACAGATTGTCTAAACAAATTAACTACACAGGTGGGACAGAATACACAAGCAATTGGACAGTTGACGGAGGCCTCAGTAGAAAACCGAAAATTGGCTGAGGATACCAGACAAAAATTGGAAAATTTAGAGCAAGAGGTAAGACCACTCACTAAACAAGTTGGGGAACATCAGACTTATCTTTCTATGATAGAACTGCGAAATCGTGAGAATAATCTGAGGATTAGATCATTACAAGAGGCAGAAGAAGGAAATCTAACTGAGTTTTTGACCAAAGAACTTTCCAAGTTCTGGAATTTGGAAGAAAAGGACTTTAAAATTGTGTCAGCTTTCAGACTTGGAAGATTTATAAAGAAGGAGAGGCCCAGGGATTGTTTGATTACATTGAGATCGAAGGAGGAAAGGGATAAGATTTTGGGCCTACATTACGAAAAGTCACTGGAAGTTTTGGATAGAAGAATTGAGATATATAAAGATATCCCAAGACAACTGTTGGACCTTAGAGCCGCCTATTCCGAACTTGCTAAACTATTAAGGAGCAACGCAATTCCATTCAGGTGGGATTTTCCCCAAGGATTATCTTTTACCTTTAGAGCGAGAAAGGTTAAAATTAGAACATTGGAAGAGAGAGATAAATTTCTGGCTACACACGGAGAGGACCTACATAAAGGAATCGAACTACCTTCCGGGCCTGAGGCAAAGCCAGCATCAATACCTCCACCTCGGGAACTTGAAGATCAAGAGAAGACACCACCCCAGGAGAAATAACCAGATAGATCCAGGATGTCTCTGCAACTGTTGAGCTGGAATATTAATGGTTGCAATATTCCGGAGAAAAGGAAGAAAATATTTCATATATTAAAAAAAGAACAATTGGACATTATTTGCTTACAAGAAACACATGTGACGAGGCTCCACAGAAAAGTGTTAATAAATAAAAGATTGGGCCAGGAATTTATTTCGTCGGATAAAGTGAAGAAGAGAGGAGTGGTGATATATGCAAAAGAGAGCCTGTCACCTAAATTTCTATTTAAAGATGAACATGGAAGGATTTTGGCTATTGAGATACAATATCAAGGAGAGAAACTGCTGATATTAGGAATCTATGCGCCTAATGAAGGGAAATCGGAATTTTACAAGAAGTTGCAGGGGACAATGCTGGATCATCTGGATTACAACAACATCATAATGATGGGAGACATGAACGGGGTCGTGTCAACTAACATGGACAAGTCGCAAAGTCAAAACATCACAAAAGATGGCAGACTACCTAAAACCTTTTTTGAAATGACTGACAATATGGATTTGATCGACATTTGGAGAACAAAGAACCCACTAGGTAGAGAAGGAACATTCTTTTCTGAAGCCCAACTGACCTGGACAAGAATCGACCAAATATGGATCTCTAGAGGCCTGGCACCTAGGGTTAGAAAAGTGGAAATCTGCCCAAAGACCTGTTCTGACCACAACGCAGTAAAGATGGACATGACACTACTACCAACTGGATCCTTTAGATGGAAGATGAATGACAATTTGTTTAGAGATCAGGAAATTACCAAGAAGGCCCAAAAAGTTTTGAAAGATTATTTTGAGATAAATATGAACAATTCGGTGGAAAAAGAATCGTCTGGGACGCAAGCAAAGCTGTCAGGAGGCGATTCCTGATACAACAGAATGTAGTAAAGAAAAAAACACAAAATGAGACAAAAGACAAGATTTTGGATAAAATAAAAGAATTAGAGAAGAAATTAAGAGTGAATCCAAAGTCACAGCCAACTCTGAGAGAAATTAAACTGTATCAAACACAGTATTCTAAATTGATAAATCAGGAAATTGAATGGAAGATCAAATTAATGAAACAAAAACGTTTGAGTCGGCGAATAAATGTGGAAAACTGCTATCCTGGCAGTTGAAGAGAAGACAAAGATTAAACACGGTTACAAATTTAGAGGTTGATGGAAGAAACATTCAGAATCCAGTGGACATTAGAAAGTGTTTCCAGAGATATTTTAAAAATTATATACCCAAGGGCCGCAAGACGAAGTTGAGATTAAACAATTTTTGCCAAAAATGGATTATCTAAACTGTCACAAGAAAATAGGACAATCCTGAACTCTAAAATAACACGACAGGAGATTGAACAAGCTATTCAGAACATGCAACTTGGCAAATCTCCAGGGCCAGACGGGCTGACCTCCAAGTATTACAAGACACTAAAAGACTATTTGATACAACCCTTGATGGAGGTTAGCAATGAAATTATGGAGGGGAAGAGGGCACCGGATTCGTGGAAGGAAGCGTTTATCACATTGATACCAAAGTCAGAAACTGAAAAGACACAACTGAAGAACTACCGTCCCATCTCCCTTTTAAATGTGGATTACAAAATATTTGCAGATATTTTGGCAAGTAGATTTAAAAAGTTTTAAATGAAGTAATTCATAAGGACCAGGCCGGTTTTCTCCCAGGTAGACATTTGTTTGCTAACACAAGGAACATTATTGATATTTTGGAACTTCTCCAAACTGACATAAATACAAAAGCTGTTTTAATTTTTATAGATGCGGAGAAGGCCTTTGATAACATTTCTTGGAAATTTATGATGGGAAACTTAAAAGAGATGGGAGTGGGACGGGGTTTTGAGAATGGGATTGAGGCGATATATTCAGAACAGAAAGCAAAACTGATAGTTAATAATGTGGTTACAGAAGAGTTCAAAATTGAAAAAGGGACACGACAAGGTTGCCCTATTTCCCCTTTGTTATTTATTTCGGTCCTGGAAGTGCTATTGAACATGATTAGAGGGGACCAGCTGGTGGAAGGAATTCAGGTTGGTCAGAAACAATATAAATTAAAAGCTTTTGCAGATGACCTGGTTTTGACCTTGCAGAAGCCAGAGCCTAGTACGAAAAGAGTATTACAATTGATTAATGATTTTGGTCGGGTGGCGGGATTTAAATTAAACAAACAGAAAACTAAGGTTTTGGGGAAAAATCTGACTGAGACAGAGTCAGAACGGTTTCAGAATGAGACGGAACTTAATGTGGTTAAAAAGTAAAATACCTAGGGGTAAACATAACAGCAAAAATCTAAGTCTATTTAAGGATAATTATGAAAAATGTTGGACAGAAATTAAGAGAGACTTAGACAGTTGGTCAAAATTGAAACTTTCTTTGTTAGGCCGAATTGCTGCGATTAAGATGAATGTATTGCCAAGAATGTTGTTTTTATTTCAAACACTGCAGGTATTGGACAAAATGGAGTGCTTTCAGAAGTGGCAGAGAGACATTTCGAAGTTTGTCTGGCAGGGCAAAAAGCCCAGAATTAAGTTTAAGATACTAACCGATGCAAAACAAAGAGGGGGCTTTGCCCTGCCGGACTTAAAGTTGTACTATGAAGCCGCAGCGTTCTGCTGGCTAAAAGACTGGCTACTTCTTGAAGACACTGATGTGTTAGATTTGGAGGGTTTAACAATGTTTTTGGATGGCATGCATATTTATGGTATGACAAAGTTAAAGCAAATAAGGCCTTTAAGAACCATATTGTTAGAAAATCACTGTTTAATGTCTGGACAAAATATAAAGACTTGCTGGAAAATAAAACACCAAGGTGGCTTTCACCTTTGGAAGCTAAGGCCCGAAAAGACCCAATATGGAGGCCAAATGGCCAAAATATTGGGAAATACTAGAAAAGATGGAGACAATTGGAAATTGCAGAGCTTGGAGAAAATGAAAGACAAAGTGCGAGATTGGTTACACTATGCTCAGATTAAAGAAGTTTTTAAAAGTGATAAGAAACTAGGGTTCCAGGTGGAGAAATCGAAATTAGAAACAGAATTGTTAGAACCAAAGACTAAGATACTTTCAAGGATGTATAACTTGCTGTTGGAATGGAATACACAAGATGAAATGGTTAAATCGGCTATGATAAGGTGGGCACAGGATATTGGGTATAATATTATGTTTGAGGACTGGGAAAGGCTGTGGAGTAATGGATTGAAATTTACTGCATGTAATGCTTTGAAAGAAAATGTAATGAAAATGATTTATAGATGGTATATGACCCCAGTCAAACTCGCAAAAATTTACCACCTGTCTGATAACAAGTGCTGGAAATGCAAAGAGTGTGAAGGAACGTTCTTTCACCTCTGGTGGACATGCCCTAAAGTGAAGGCGTTCTGGGAAATGATTTATAATGAATTGAAAAAGGTATTTAAATATACTTTCACTAAGAAACCAGAGGCCTTCCTTTTGGGTATTGTCAGCCAAGGGGTGGCAAAGAAGGACCCGACATTTTTATGTATGCAACAACAGCAGCAAGGATACTACTCGCAAAACATTGGAAAACCCAAGATCTACCCACACTGGAAGAATGGCAGATGCAACTGATAGACTATATGCAACTGGCTGAAATGACTGGCAGAATCCGTGACCTGGGAGAAGAGAGAATCGAGGAGGATTGGAAGAAATTTAAGAACTACCTACAAAAACATTGTGATTTGATTGAATGCTGAATAAGATGCTGGACTAAATAACTGAGCACCACTTAACTTAGAAATTTTTAAGGAAACAAGAAAAGTTGTGAAAGTTTAACTCTTTATGAGAACTTTAAGATTATGAAATATCGAAGAGATATAAGAATTTAAATAAGATGATAAATTGCTGACAAAATGTTATAATGATGAAGGTGGGAGCGGGAGATGTGAGGAAGTCCAAAGAAAATGTGAAATTATGTTAAGACGAATGCTATATTGTTTATTACATTAATTCCTATTGTAAA